TGCAGCGGGCGGAGCGCCCGCCCTTCCCCACCATGCTGCCGTCCTGGGCGTGGACATGGAGGCTCGGCTGCTGCAGCGGGCGGAGCGCCCGCCCTGCATCACCCCCAGCATGCCAGGCTCTCGCGGGGCCAGGACGGGGACAAGACCCCCTCCCCTGCTCGGAGCGCGCGTGCGCGCGCCCGCCCTCCACCACCGCGTCATCCACCGGCTCGCTGTGCTGCTGCTTGTGAACAAGACCCTCTTGCTGCTGGGCGGCCGCCCCCGCACGCCGCACCCGGGACCGCGGGCGCGACGCGCGACAGCCGAGGCACAGGATGCCGCGGGTGGTCAACCAAAAAAAAAATTTCGTTGTTCGGGCTTTGAATGAAAGAGGACATATAAAAATGGGGCTGTGCAAAATTTGGGCCCGATCGGACAACGTTGAACGGGCTTCCCGGGGCATTTTCCGAAGTGCCTTAAAACGCGCATGAACGGGATTCGCAATTTGTCAGGCTCGCTGCGCACGCAGGGGCCGACCGGCGGTATCGGCGAGGTGTCGAGATGTGAGCGTGGGGGTTGTACTTCACATACGTCAAGTGAGATCCGTTACCACAATCACCCGGTCGACCCCAGGGACCTAAGTGTCTCGGGCCACGCAAATCGCGCTGTGCGGCTGACCCAATGGAAATATTGGATGTTCTCTTCACAAATGTGAAGGGGACGCTCTACCCTTTCGATTGACGTTTCGCGTGCCAGCTACCCCCACCTGGAACATGGTGAAAAATCGCAAAAACCCGCCTGGCGGGTGTATCCGCCTGATGACTAGGCAACATCTGTACACGCATGTAGTGGGGCTGCCTAGTCATCAGGCGGATACACCCACCAGACGTGTTTTTAAGATTTTTACTTGCACAGCCCCATTTTTATATGTCCTCTTTCATTCAAAGCCCGAACAACCTCAATTCCTGACTTTGACCTCTAAAGTTGACCACCCTACCGTCCCCCTCCCGCTCGCTCGGCCGCTCGGTCACCTCCTAAAGAGATTTGGGTGTATCCTCTTCAAAGGGTTGCCGCTATCTAAACAAACATGGCAGGTTCAGCCGTCGCCGTGTTCCCGGCACCCACTTATTGAGGTTGTGCAGGCCGCTCGCGCCGCCCTCGCGCCCTCTTGAGGGATGCGTCCCGAGTCCGCCCGCCCGTGCCACTTGACGGCGCAGCAGCCGAGTGCCCCAGCCCCACGGCCACTCAAGGACCAACCGCCCAGTTCCAGTTAAAATTTTCAGTTTTCCCTTTTTCAGTTCCAGTTCCCCGTTCCCTGTTCTAGTTCTAGTTTCAGTTCCCAGTTCCCAGCTTTAAATTCCGTATGGAAATGTTGTTAATTCCAGATGGATATCGTGTTTCCACATGGAATTTTATTTCCACTATGGGCTTTGCTATGAAATAATTATCCATTATGGTTTTTTGCTATTCCACTATGGAGTTTACTATGGAATATTATCCATTATGGGTTTCTTATTTTCCAGTATGGAGTTTGCAATGGAATATTTTCCATTATGGACTTTTGCTTTACCATGATGGATTTTTCAAATTCCCATAATGGAATCACAGTTTTGACCAAAACTTTTTAACTGTATGTGACTCATGAATTCGGACTGTAGTTCCTTGAAGGTTACATCGCAATGTTTACATCCTCGTGAAAAAAAAGCAAAAATCGTAATTCTCAACTCAGCTGTAACTTCAAAACGAGTTGTCGTATTGTGAATCTGACTTCATATTCGTCGTTTTTGGCGAAATTGCAAGTAGGCAGGTTGTTCTTACTTCAAACTGGGACTTGGCGCATGACGTGTTTCAGACTTTACATGGATTCCAGAAGCCATGTGGATTTTATATTCCATGTGGAAAATTTTCCATAACCAGGTATCCATATCACAAAATCTCCACTGTGGAATGGTCACTATTTCCAGTCTGGAAATCATTCCAATTTACAGACGGAATAGAATCCAGATGGAAATTGAATGGAATCCAGATGGACATTTTCCGTACTAAAAACCCATACGGAATTTAAAGCTGAGTTAAATTTTTCAGTTTCCCGTTCACGTTCTAGTTCCCTCGTTTCCTGTTCCCGTCCTCCGGTCCTTGTTCCAGTTTTAGTTTTCCGTTCAAGTTCTAGTTCCCCGTTTCCAGTTCTAGTTCCCGTGCCCAGTTTTTATCCCAGCCCAGTAAAAGTTTTGTAATACTTTGATATTCCACTTATAATTTTTATTACTGTTCCTCAATGATATGACTTTTCATGCTGGACTGTCTCTTTACCGGCCGGCAGGCCAGCTTTTTGTTTGTTGATGTGTGCTGTGCGTCGTCTTTGCCCTTCCTCCCTCCCCCATCCGCCTGGGGGAGGGAGGGAAGACACCTTGAGTAGGGGGCCGACCCCCATGCGGTTGTTTGTGGACGCACTCTAGAAGAGCTCTCCTCTCGGCTCTCCTGCTACTGGCTGCTACCCTAATTGAACCAGAAGGGTGCGGCCCGATACACCTACATAATTTTCTTCTACAACGGTTTAGACGAGTTTTCAGAAAGTGCGAAATTTTGTTCTACACCGCGTAGGTGAGTTTTTAGACAGTCCCTTGTGGTCTGTCTCTACCCGAAGGTAAAAGTTTCCAGTTTTGATAAAGATGGCCGATTAACGCCGTTAGCCAGCTCAGCTCCAGCCCAGCGAAGCCCAGTCTGCCTATCGTATATATTCTGTGGGGAGGGCTGTGGCGTTGTGCGTTGTCTACCACAAAGTGTTGCCGCTATCTTAACAAACATGACAGGTTCAGTCGTCGCCGTGTTCCCGAATGGTTTCTTGCGACCCTTGAGAGCGCCCCTGCCCCAGCCCAGCCACTTGAGAGAGCGCCGCGGCTCCTCGCTCTTCACGCCCCCGGCCCGAACCGCCCTGCCGCGCCGCGCCCCGTCCCGCCCGGCCACGCCCGGCCCTCCGCCCACCCTCGATCCCCCGTCCACTTAACAAGTGATCCCCAGCCTCAAATTTTAAATTTGAACCGCAGCGCTTTGAAATATGAAATGTGCGTGCTTTCGCGCACGCAGAAATTACGAA